TTGAGCCCATCTTTGCCTGAAATGTTCCCTTGGTATCTCTAATTTTCTTGAAGAGATCTCTAGTCTTTCCCATTCTATTGTTTTCCTCTATTTCTTTGCATTGATCACTGAGGAAGGCTTTCTTATCTCTCCTTGCTATTCTTTGGAACTCTGCATTCTGATGGTATATCTTTCCTTTTCTCCTTTGCCTTTCACTTCTCTTCTTTTCTAAGCTATTTGTAAGGCGTCCTCAGACAACCATTTTGCCTTTTTGCATTCCTTTTTCTTAGGGATGGTCTTGATCCCTGCCTCCTGTACAATGTCACAAACCTCAGTCTATAGTTCTTCAGGCACTGTCTATCAGATCTAATCCCTTAAAACTATTTGTCACTTCTACTGTATAATTGTAAGGGATTTTATTTAGGTCATACCTAAATGGTCTAGTGGTTTCCCCTACTTTCAGGAGGATAGGCTATCAACATTTTCCCCATTTGTCAAATTAAAACAGCATGCATCCACCAAGGCATTAAAATGTCCCACTGTTGCTCCCTGGTCACATTCAGCACGGTCCCCCAACCCCACTCCCAACATACACACATTTACATCCACTACCCTGAACAGCAAGACTCAACAAACCGCTTTTCAGCTTCAAGTTTATCCATCCTCTTCCAGAGACGGTTCACTAGTGCTTCCTGTTCTTGTTCCAAAGTATTCTCAAGGTCAATCTTCTCCCGTCTCAACTGAAGGAAAAGAAAGAAGTTTCACTGAGAATTGTAGGCCACTTAAACTTTGTTCATTAGATTTTTTGATTGGAACACTATGATCCCTTTCCACGGAGAAAACTGCAAAGAAATGGTCAATTTTCTGGCACAGACACGTTAAGTGCATTTCATTCTTAAACTTTAATTGAGAAAACTGAGATATGTTCATTCTTTGATGTTAAAGCTTAATTGCTCCCTAGTAGGTGGATCACAGTGGTTGCTTCAGCAGTTACTCCAGGCACATGGAAAGCCTTCCTTAAAGAGTGTTTGAGGAGATTTTGTTGCCAGTTGTCCCAGGACATAAGTGGGTTTGTCTCCCTAGTCCTGCATGCATCTCAACATTAAACCAGAAAGGTTACACTTCCATTTACGGAAATAACTCCCAACACTACCAAGTGGTTAATGGGCACATAGAAATATGGCCTAAGATATAAAAACACGTGTGAAAAGTATAAACATCACATTCACAATACTGGTTACTTCTGGGGAGGTGGGGCAGAAGGTAAATGTGATTCAGGGGAAGGCAAATGATTGCAGAGGGAACCCCACATTGCATTCTACTTCATAAAAAGAAGCAATTGGGGAAGCAATTAATTTAATCTATTAACATAGAAAGTGAAAGTGTTAAGTCGCTCAGTCCTGTCTGACTCTTTGCGACACCATGGACTGTAGCCTGCCAGTCTGTCCATGGGACTCTCCAGGCAAGAATATTGGAATGGGTTGCCATTCCCTTCTCCAAGGGATCTTCCCGACCTAGGGATCGAACCCGGGTCTCCCGCATTGCAGGTGGATTCTATACTGTTTGAGCCGACACAGAGCAACATGCAAACACTGAGACCAACACCAGACACAGGTTAATAGGGATGTAGCAGAGAACTGAGGAATCAGAAAGGTCTGCCCTCTGGAGACCTCGTTCAGGTTTTTCCATTACAGCTTGTGGGAAACCCAAATGAACTTACTGGCCAGCCCAATACATTCTAGTAGTGGTGAAGACATTAAAAGAAACCATTTATATGTTTTAGTAGAGAGAGAGAGAGAGAGAGATGAAGAAAAAGAGGGCTGGTGATGGGGACAGAAAGTGCCATGATAAACAGAGTTCACAGCACCAGGAAGAAGGAAATGTATGGTATCATTTTTTGTATACTTGTCTATTTGCTTGGGATAGTAACTAATTTTAACAGATCACTTTTTAAAAGGTGGGGAATATTATGTTACTGCCCTCATGCTGTCTCTTCACCCAACTGGAATTTATCTTTTTAACCACTCACTTAACAGATTATTTTTGATTGCACAGCCACACAGCTGTCCAGGTATTAATATCAGAGTTCACACTTCTTTAGCAGGTGAGAGGCAAGTTCCTCACTGAGCAAAGACCCCTATGTAGACATAAGGTGAGACCAATTCCATGGACAAAATGTAGCCTTTTACAGCAACCGAGGCAGACATACCTTACTTCACCAGTCAATAAGCCAAGATCACAGAGTCAACAGAAAACATAGCCTCACTGAATTTTCTTTGCATGGGCAAAGGGACAGGAATCAGACTATGCTGGAAGAGTCCTGTGCAGTGAAGCCAGGAGCTGGCTAATGCACAAAAGCTCAAAATATTAAACAGCTCCTTTCCCTGCAAGGAGGAGAAACCCAGGAACACCTCACAGAACTCCTATGAATCTTTGTGACCCTCTGACCACATTTTGGGCCAAGGTTTGAAGCAATGATACAATTCACAGTTGTTTATTTAAAGAAACAAAATGCCAAGTCATTTACCCTTTAAGGACCCTATTGCCATGTTTAACTAAAACATGACAAGGGGTACTTGGTAGAGAAGAAGAAATTCAAGCAAGGCATCATTTTGTAGTAGAGATGACTAGTAGAGAAAATAATGCCCAACGGCTTATTTTTAGAGTAATCATGCACCATGCAAATATATAACTCCAAAAAACAAAATCAAGACAAAGCTGTCTCTACCCACATATGACTGACTCGGCATGTGGTTTTGAGGAGGTCCTAACCTGTCCTCAGGCTTCCCAGGTGGTGCTAGTGGTAAAGAACCCATCTGCCAATGCAGGAGACATAAGAGAGCCAGGTTTGATCCCTGGTTGGGGAAGATCCCCTGGAAGAGAGCACGGCAACCCACTCCAAGTACTCTTGCCTGGAGAATCCCATAGACCGAGGAGCCTGGAGGGCTATGGTCTATGGGATCACAGAGTTGGACACGACTGAAGCAACTGAGAATGTATGCACGCAACCTGCCCTCATCTATGAAATGAGAAGGCTGGCCTTGAAGACATCTGAGGTCCCTTCCAGGGCCACCCATCCTATCATTCTCTGTCAATCTCAAGATGGCACTTGTCTCAGTCTGCACTAGTTCAGTTGAGATTATTAGAAACAGAAGCAGCAAAAGAAATCATCTAAATCCACTCTTTCATTTGACAGCTGAGGAAACACTGATTCAGGAAAAGTGATGCTGCCAGCATAGGAATGGGGATCAGTCACTATGGTGACCAAAGAAGCTGGGCCCCATCTAACCAGCAAGTTCAGAGCATCTGGAGGGGCAAATAGGATTTGGGGTAAATTATCCAGTGTATTCTGGGAAGTAGTGGAGCAGGGGGTACCTTAGTGAGTCCGAGAGTATGCAGGAACAGATAAGGAAGCAGGAAAAACAGAAGTTGAAACATGAATCTCAGCTTCTTTTTGGTACCAGTTAGTAGAGCTATGTGTGACTCGTGTGTGTGACTGTGTGTGTCTGTGTGTTAAGTCACTTCAGTTGTGTCCAACTCTTTTCAACCCTATGGACTATAGCCTGCCAGGCTCCTCTGTCCATGGGATTCTCCAGGCAAGAATACTGGAGTGGGTTGCTATGTCCTCCTCCAGGGGATCTTCCCGACCCAGAGATTGAATCCATGTCTCTTATATCTCCTCACTGGCAGGCAGGTTCCTTATCACTAGTGCCACCTGAGAGGCCTGATAGTAGAAACCCAAGTTTCACCCTCTGGAGGCCTTGGTTCACTGAAGTGGGCAGTAAATTGATAGCTGGGAGTCACCTGAAGAACTTCAGAACCTCCCGAAGTCCTTTATCAGCAGTGCCCTTCCATCTCCTGTCCATATAATCCCACAGCCTATTTATTTATAGCCAAAGAGTATAAACCAGTACTGCTGTTTCAGACCTAAGCAGATTTTCAGTGCTTGCATTGCCCTGATATCAAACAACCCTCAAATCTGACAGTGTGTGTTAAACTGACAGGGTACTGAGTCAGAAATTCTTGCTGGAATAGAAACAACAGCTCAGTGCCGCATTCATTGCTTTTGCAATGCTGATCCCATCTGTAATAGTCTTTCCTATCTCCTTTTAAATTCAGTGTTCCTGCCACAGGTACCCACTCTTCCATTACCAAACATCAAATTCTCAGGCAAACCCAAGCCCCTGCTGACTACACTCTCTATCAGCACTCAGCACCAGTGGATACAGCTGATTTGCAGAATATCCATTTGAAGAGTTGCTTTGTAATTAAGTCAGGTCAATGGACTGTCAGCCGAACTCCTTACCCGTCTTCAGTAACTCTTCCTCCTGTTGCAAGTTAATTAACATTGCACCAAGAGTTCTTATTATGTTTCCCAAATAAATAACTTCTGTAATGGATGAACTTAGTGTATAAAAGTAGAGCTGGCTCATTTGAATTCACAGCCCATTCTGGCTGTGTCTTCTCAGGGGGCAGACACTCACTACCCAAAAAGCAGAGAAAGCAGGGGGCAGCCAAGAGACAGCTCCAACATTACCACACTTCTCTCTCAATGGAGCATTTTCCCACTTACAGGGAACCAGGATGCTCACAGAGGTCAGGGAAAGGAACACTTGGCAAAAAAGCCTGATGAGAACTCTAGCATGACCATGTGCTCAACTACAGAATTTTGAAAGGTTTTAGTGTATCATTTCAATCTACTTTGAAAAGTTTTAGTCTGACCACCAAATTACCATCATTCCTATATGAAAATATATTTTGAACTCCAAACATTTGTCTTAAAAACCCAATTTTGGAAGGCAGCCCACGACAGCTCTTCCCAGAACAGGCAGCCAATGACAACTGCCTGTTCTATGTGCACCAGAAATATAGAGAGAAGGGAATTCCCTTGTGGTCCGGTGGTTAGGACTCCACTATGCTGCTGAGGGCCCAGGTATGGTCCCTGGTCAGGGGATCCTACATGCTGTGCAGTATGGCCAAAAAAATAAAGAACAGAAAAAATATACACACTGATAAAAAGACACACAAAAAAACCATAAAGAATAGCAAGATAAATAGGGTTGGCCCTTGGGTCAAAGTATTAAAAATACTGGTGGTAATTTATCTTCATATGTTTTCCGGCTCCCACACAATTTTTAAAAATATTTATGTATTTTGGCTGTTTTGGGCTTCCGAGTTGCAACTCAGGCTTGGCTGCCTTATGGCACATTCCTTAGTTCCCCACCCAGGGATCGAATCCGCATCCCCTGTATTGGCAGATAAGATTCTTAACCACTGGAGCACCAGGGAAGTCTGCCCCACACAATTTTTTAATGAACATTTACTATGCTTATCACAAAAAAACGGGAAGACAGTCAATCTTAAAAATTAACAATTTCCTGACTTTGGATATTAATTCACATACCTAAAACAGAATGAATTCATACACTCTAAGAGGAGAAATTATACTGAAGGCTCAGCTAGGTATCTGGAAGACTGAGAATCTTCCAGAGAGCCTTGAGTTATTAACCTTCTTTACCTATAGCTTGTAAGTTTTTTCTTCTCAAAAACGGTATCTATACTCTTTGAAATGGGTACAACTTCAGGACAATAGTAATACCTTATTAATATTTAATATGTGAAAAGTGACACTTTCATAGTTTACTAGCTCAATAAATCTTGCTTTTGTTCAATGATATTGAAAAATGAAGGTCTTTTATGAAACAGATACACATATAATTAGTCATATTTATATGGTTTC